CAGTTCACAGATGAAAAAGCCGTAAAGTTTAATCGGGGTTGGGTTTCTATCCGTAGATTTCCAAATGTCGAAACACTAAATAGACCGACTGGGCATCTTTTTTAGACCTCTAGGCTTGGGGCATGGCACCCTTCATCAAGTGAAATACAAACTATTCCATCCTCCTCTGTAATATAAAAAAGCAAATTTATTCTAACTACAACCCAACGTTTCGAAAGCTTAACAGCAATTCTAATACATCATATTTAAAACCGTTAACAGTACATATAACTGTAGCTGTACCGTATTCTGTTGGCCAAGAAACATTGTCACAATATACAAGTTACTTCATACAATGTAGAACAGATTGCAATAACATAATTGTATCTGACGCGGCGCAAAAGAGTAGCGGCTCCACTTTATTGATGCCGCCAGCGAAATACCTGTCCTTTGACTAACAGCTTACTGCAGTATCCCGCTATGCTTGTTATGTAATAAAATGTGAATACAAGATGCACCCTTAAATAAAACTGGTAGTCATTTTAAATTTAGAATCTTTTGGCGTTTTTACAGACACAGTTTTCGGTACGTTGAACGTACGCACGGTTAGTGGTTGCAATCTATTTATCATATTTAATGCCCATCAATGCCTTAAACGCAAAGATAGGTCTTGGGTTTGAAGCCCGGGAAAATGGTAAATTTCGGTATGACGAAAAAAACGCATTCGCGGCGTGAACCACGTCAGAGAGTGATTTTATACTTTTTTATAAATACATATTAATAATTAATGTTTTTTTTTTGAAATACTAATTGCTTTTTTTTATTGGTTTTAATTGAGATTTTTATTTATTTATTCCGATGAGATTTAAAGAGAGTAGACATTTAAAAACAAAACATACATATGTTCTAACATGTAAAAGTTGTATTTGAGTTGAACACGTACAAATGTTTGTAACCATAAAATTTTCTTTTCTTATAAATTCCGTTGCAAATAACAAGTGTGACAAAGTTTGGGCATGGGATTAAGCTACAAAAACTTCACACGAAGCTTGGAAAACTTCTTAACCTGGCAAATAAAATTCCAGATAGTTAAGAAAGTTTTTGTGAATTATATTATACTAGCTGTGTCAGCGACTTCGTGCTCGTAGAATAGTTATTTTGGGCATCCAAATTTGTTTTTTCAAACCTCTTCTTTATTTTTATAAATGTAAACTGCTATTTGACATCGAAGGTCGTTCGTGTCCCGACCTTCTTGCAAGTTAATCTTCAAAGATGTCGCGGTCTGTATACATATTTTTTGGGTATCTTAATCCATTTTCGCAGCGTACACACAAAAAATCGATTATCCCCCTTTTTTCCCCCCCCCCCCCCCCACCCCCCCCCCCCTTTTTAAAACCAAAAAAAAAAAAGGGGAACCCCCCCCCCCCCCAAAAAAAATTTTCCCAAAAAAAAAAAAAAAAAAAAAAAAAAAAAAAAAAAAAAAAAACCCCCCCCCATATAATTTAAAAAAAAAAAAAAAAAAAAAAAAAAAAAAAAAAAAAAAAAAAAAAAAATATAAAAAATTTTAAAAAAAAAACAAAAAAAACCCCCCCCCCCCCCAAAAAAAAACAAAAAATTTCCCAAAAAAAACCAAAAATAAAAAAATTTTTTTATATTATTTTTTAAACAGATATACAGTGTTTTAATAATCTAATTAGTTTGGCTCGCTTTGTGTGTTTACTTCATTCCATTAGTTAAATGCTGTAAATTGGTTTGAAAAAAATAAATAGTTTGGAGCATGTTAGTAACAATGTGTCGTAAAAGTGGCAACACTAAGTTACACAACATATTTTGATGATTTTATTGTCATGACATGATAGGTTGCTGGCTGTAAATATTTTTTTATATTTATTTTTTAGTAAAGGAGTCTTGCCAACTAGTAAAACTTTAAATCTAATAAATGTAGTAAGATAATTGTAATGAATCTTACTTACAAGTATACACAGCGTTGACATGATATGTAATATATATTTTCGCTACAAAGAGATGAACCAACATCATACACACTGAAAGCAACACCACGTAAAAATTTCTTTTCATTTTCTTAAGACAAATTTACTAAGGAAAGAAGACGATTTAGTGTTTTAAAAATGATGGAAGTAAAAATGTCAATAATATGATTCTTTAATATTTAACGATATTAAACACTGTCTGTAGTTTACGCGAGTAGTAAACATTGAATAAAACACTTTAACAGACTTAACAGGTTTAGAACGCAGAATATATTACTTAAATTTATTTGAAAATTAACGTCGCGCCGTATACAAAATAGTTTTCAAATAAGTTCACATAATATATATCGCGCTTAAAACCGTTAAAGTGTTATACTTAAATATTACCATTATTCTTATACAAATTGTGATTCAGTTTAACCTTAAAAATAAGAGAGATTCAACGTAAATATTTGCAAATTTATGTTTCCAATAAGGATGCAAATAGGGGAATGTAATGTAAGAGAAACGTACAGTAATTTAATTCAAGTCCCGGCGAAGTAATCTCATTATTTGTTTACCTACGCCGGGGAGCTTCAATCATCAGCTGTTAATCAAGCAAATATCTTCGCTTCCAACACCCGACGACAACTCCTGCGATTCAAATTAACTTTGCTATACAAGTCTTGAATTCTAGCTACAAATCATTCTTGTAATATTTATTGTTTTATTTACAAATAATACTTCTTTACATTTTATTTTATACTAATAATATCTTATTTTGTTATAAAATAAACATAACAAATGTTAGTAGATTCAGTATTGTATATCCATTAATTCAATAAATTTCAAATAATAAAAAAGCTATTGGTATATGATTTTATGTAAAATCCATGAGAATTTCTTATATATTCTCATATACTTTAATTACCTTGTAATTAATAAATTTTATTGTATAACTTTTTCAATTTTAATACATAGAAGGAAATTTGAGAAATTTGAGGCGCTTTGAGTAATTGTGCGATATAATGATCGAAAAATTACGTGAATAGACTGATTGAAAGTAGCTCAAAGGTTTGAATAAAGTTTATGCTAAAATTCATTGTTTTGGAAGCTAAAAATATCCTATTCAAGATGATTATTAATAATGCTATAGATATAAACTCAATTAGATGAGAGTGCTTCAATGTTGCTGCTGGGTTATTCAGGAGGCTGTCAGAAAGCTTCGGTATAAAGCCTCGTAATTACTTCGCTTTAATTGATTTCCTACGCACTAAGTGGCCTCGATTCTATTACACACCCCACACTGCGAACGATATGAAATCATACATTCTTGAGAAGTAGTCGAGTGTTGATTATTCTTTTGTTGTTATTTGATTGGCTTCCATAATTAAATTATCAAAACAGGCAATCAGTTATTCTACCACCAGCCAGGTATACAAGAAAAAATAACTAACTTTATTCTAAAAAGTCTCTTATATTAAAAAGAAAGATTGTATATCTAAAATAAATAAAAAAAATGTAAGTTTAATTAACAACAAACAAAATTTTCCTAAAGTTTTCTAAAATATAAGTTTTATGCTTTAGATAAAAGTGATATTCAATACAAATCCTACAATCATGAGTAGATTATCTAACTACATAATATTTATCTATACTAATATTTAAAGCTAAGAGTTTGTTTGTTTGAACGTGCTAGTCTCAGAAAATACTGGTTTGAATATAGAAACTATTTTTGTGTTCGTTTAGAGGTTATACTAAAAGAAAAAGTAAAAAGAAAAAAATAAACTGATAAATCTTTGTAAGTTTGCTGCCAAAACCATTCAACGTACCCGAAAAATGTTAATGAAAGAATAATTTCTCTTTAAATGATCTTACAAATGCCCACGACAGTATATGTCTATCTTATAAGATAAAGCAAGAACGACGGGATGCAACCGACGTCGTGGTAACAGCTATATTTTACAAAAATGGAAGGAGGTTTGCAAAATAGGCAAATAACTATTCGACGCGGACGAAGTGACTGACACTATTAGTTATATATATATTTTTAGGAATCAACATTTACTAAAATAAAAACAAAATAACACAACAACTAAATAAATTAAAATTCAACAAAATCCTATCGACCGGGCAGCACGTCCGTTCCGTACAACGAGCGGCGAAAAAGTGTGCGAGCCGTTGCTTGAGGCTTGTTTATATAGCCTTCAGTGTGGCGGGTAGTTGAGCTTTTCTGATTTCCAACACGGCCTCTCCTGACCGTGTCCGTCCTCGGGCACCTCCTCTGTCGCGACCCCCTCGCGTGAGTCTGTGCGCAGCTGGGGACGGCTACCTGCAGCCGCGTGCACACGTGACCACGCGTTGTGCTAAGCTGTCGATCGCCTCGAGCCGGGTCGCCTGCAGGCCCCCCGTACTTCAGCTGAGCGCGTGACCGCGCAACCCGAAGCACCGTTTCTTCGCACCACAACATTGACGAGAGGACGCACGAGCGCACATCCACGATGCGCGGGTATGTCGGCGGACCTCGCCGCTCGCGCCCTGCTGCGACTCTGCCATGTGACACCAACGCCCAGAGAAGACACCCAGGCGGCGGCTACCGCTTCCGCGCTCTAAATGCCGGAAGTTGCGATTTCGGCCGTCACCCTCCTCGACCGCCGAAGGAAGCCGCATGCGCGCCGTGTAGTCCGCGCGTGGGCTGCGCGCTGCTACTGGTGGCGTGGCGCCGGTTGAACTCCCCCTCGTTCCAGGGTCGTCCCGGCTGCCTGCTGCCGGCGTGCCGTTCTCCCGACGCAGCCATTGAACACGAACAAGAAGCACAGGACACGGTGTGCGCGAGACGAAGCCGCCCGTGTCTCCGAGCGCCTGCTGCCGCTCTCCTGACGCATCCATTGAACACGAACAAGAAGCACAGGACACGGTGTGCGCGAGACGAAGCCGCCCGTGTCCCCGAGCGCCTGCTGCCGCTCTCCTACCATCCATTGAACACGAACAAGAAGCACAGGACACGGTGTGCGCGAGACGAAGCCACCGACTCACCACCGGCGTGACCTCTCACACACATCTACTACAGCCTACGATCTCCCCCCCCCTCATCACACCTATCCTATCCGATTCCCCTCTCCATTCCAGGATTGCCCCTAACTCCATAAAAACTCCGGATGTGCCACACTCATCCATAACTCCGGATGTGCACACACTAAATCCATACTCCAGGATGTGCACACCTACATCCATAAACGGATGTGCACACCTAATCCTGGACGGTCGCATCTCCAGGTTCCCCCAGAACTTCATATACACCACCTCCATTACCACACCAGCAATCAATCGCCGATGCTCACATTCTCAACTCAACTTAAGTAAAAACTTACTACATTCAAAGAAAGTGCACACTATCTGGCCCACTCTCCTTTCCAGGGACCATATATTGGGCACACCTGTGTTGCTCAACTTCATTTTGTGTCAACCGTTCGGCCGTCCTTCTTTTTACTACAAGTACTGTTCTTCAATAAGGAGACTCGGATTCGCGAATAATCCCCTTATGTAAAAGATCTGTTACTATTTCGCGAACTTTCAATTATCATTGTACGACATTTTATAAGGACGATAATAACCTACTCGAAGGAGATCTCCTCAAGTTCAATTGTAAGGATTACATAAAACTAACATATAATTGAATCACTTATTCCTTTTAACAACTATTGACATGATTCCGGTTACACGAAAAATAGTTAACTACCGACGAAGAAACAATGAAACTCCCAATGCGCCACTATCCATGAGTATGTCTAGTGGATTTTACTTTTTTTTCGTTTTCAGATCGTTGCTTTTGCAAAACAATCTTTAATATCAGCCCCCCTTTCTTACAATATTACAATTACAACAGTACAACTTAACTATTACTACTATAGTTAGATACTGAAGGCAACGCAAGTTGTGACGGGGTCATACTATGCTCTAGCCGTTTGGGGCAATTAGACTGTTTGTGCCCCCACCTCACTACAAACAAAACATTTCGGACCTAAGGTCCTCCTAGACTATTTAAACGCGAGTTTTGAATTATCTTTAATTGTAAAATTTGGTCGAAAATGAGAGTACGATCGATTTGATCCAGTGAAAGGTTTGACAAAATAAAATTCCTACTAAACTATCTGGAGCAAGGTTAGAATTAGTAGCAGATGCTTTAACAAGTGAATCTTTAATGCCCCGTATAATGATTGCAATAATTAATTCATCAGACAGACCCTTAACCATACGTAAACGCAATATAGATTTCCGCGCGTACTCCGCGAACGTGATGTAATCGTCAGAGTCCGTACTCATAACCTTGGCTAACGTCATGATTATTTGGATCAAAGTTTGAAATGTAATAACTCTGCGAGTTAACCGATTTTGACGATTGAATAGCGTCAACAATTCTTTCCGTACCCCGAGTTGATAAAACCTCAACGTTCGACCCGCTAGGAGTTTCGACTTGTCCGAACTATTCTCTAATCACTAAACGCGAAACTATAGTCTCTAAAACTGAGAACACGCACTTGTAACGATATACTCCTAACCTAGAACGATCACGTGATCGGTCAACGTTTCGACGGCGATATCTCTCCTGATAATTACGGGACGTGCTGCGTGATCGCCTACTTCGCGAATGTCTACTTCGTGAGCTTCTACCGTATACGTTTCCCTTTAGAACGGGACCGACTTGATCTACCCATACGGTCAAAACTATCTCGATATAAAAAGCAAAAATGTTAATTATCTGAGGGCGTGAAAATCTTTATCCCACTGCTGATTTTAGGAATCAGAAGCGGATTTACTAAAATAAAAACAAAATAACACAACAACTAAATAAATTAAAATTCAACAAAATCCTATCGACCGGCAACACGTCCGTTCCGTACAACGAGCGGCGAAAAAGTGTGCGAGCCGTTGCTTGAGGCTTGTTTATATAGCCTTCAGTGTGGCGGGTAGTTGAGCTTTTCTGATTTCCAACAATATATATATATATATATATATATAATGCTACGATGACGCTACGAATACGATACGGCGCTGCTACGATGTGCTACGAGAACCGCTATAAACGCTACATAATCCCACCCGAAAACCTAAAGAATGCACTTAAATTTCAAAATCAGTGTTCCATTTATTATACACATGGAAAGTGTTTCAGATGACAAGTCGTAATAAAAATGCTTGAAATCCATACAAAACCTCTACTTGATGTTTATAAAACGGAAGTCGTGCAGAAATGCACTATGAATTGACAATAATACAATGCAACTCAACGACAGCGTAGAGCTATGAAAAGTGGTGTGCTGTTTATTTTTAGACTACTTTTTAAATCCATCGCTTACGCTACAATAACAAACGTAGTTGTGATTATACAAAGGGAGGATTATTTTGGGAGTTTGTACACTTCTGTTACCAACGGTACATCAATAAGCAAATATAATCTGGATTATCAAATGAAGTAGAGAGAACCAATTCGGTACTTTCTCGAAACATTTATTTGTATAACAATGAAATGATAAAAAAAAACCTTAATCCTATAACAACTAATACAGATGCGCTGATTATCTATTTTCCCATTAGACATACGAAACCTAAGCTATATGTATGATTTAGGGATGTAAATTGTATGTACATGTTCCCAGATAATAAAAAAATAATAATAAGAAGTGTAAGATAAAGTTTTGTATTTAAATAAAACACTTAAGACGAAATAAAACCAAAGTATTGTTTAAAAATTACAGGAAAAATAAAGTAAAGTTTAAGATTAATGAAATAGTTCTAAAACACTTGCGTAAAATCCTTACCCTTACTTTAATATTATAAATGCGAAAGTACTGTCTGTTACTCTTTTTAAAATTTGGTACACACCCTGTACCCGGGTACTTCGTATTGCGAAATGGGGGTTATAAGGGGTTAAAAGGGGGGTGAAAGTTTATATGGAAATTCGTGGTTTTTGAAGTTAGAACAATGAAACTTTCTTTTTTTGGCTTTTTGGAAATAGGAGTGGGAGTGGGATGAGAGTGGGAGTAAGAGTTAGAGTAGGAGTGATGTGAGGTGAGAGTGTTGCGGCAAAGTAGCACTTGCAATATAGATTTGCTGCGATAAATTCTCAACTACATAAATTAACAAACAGCCTAAATAATTAATAATTTTGCCCCAAGTCACTATTCCACGCGAACGAAGTCTCGGGCACAGCTAGTAGGACTATAAATGAAAAATGGATTTTTTCACTCCAATTTATTATAAATAAGGAAAAGACACGGCTTTTTTATATGATACAGGAGGATAGCTAAGCATAGGTTTTACTTGATGGTAAGCGGAGCTATTATGTCTTTGGATGTTCTGAAATCTACAGACTGAAAACAAAACTCCATTAAACTTCTCGGAATTTTCATCTGTGGACGGTGATTGGTGACCCAGACAGAATTTCGATTCCTATCACCCATTTAACATCCAGATTTTCAGACGAGGTCAAACATTGTTCAGAAAATCAATAAAATGTTGCACCCGGTGGGGAACGAACCCACGACCCGTTGATTATTAACCATACATTGCTACCTTTACAACGAACCCGTCAAAATGTCTCTCCACCTAATTATACTTATATAAGTAAGCTAATCACCTTTGTAATTACAATAATAATAAGCTATAATGCGCTACAACCAATTAGTGAGCAATCAAGGTGCGCTCAAGTCACAACGTAGGTTTTAATTATGTCCCATGTCAACGGCATACGCTTGTCGCAAAATGCTTTTCAAGTAGAAATACCTTAGCGAACATATTGCAGATAAACGAGTTCACAATAGGGGCGAGCCAGTGTCGTCGTTCGAGCGATATTTTTACAACAACAGCGTATTTGTGTCGATTGACGCATTATTGCAGCGAATCTATTGTGTCTCGTAATGGAGTCATAGTCGAAAATAGTAGTGTTGTGCATTTTTTATATTTTGCAATTGTTAGAAATAATTGCACCATTTCCTTTAATTATATGTAGTATTTTTATTATAGTAACTACGAAGTAATACTTGTAACGTTCAAAACCTTTATAGTGCAATTAGACACAAACATAACGATACTCTCCCTTCGTCTGACAATTTTACGATCATTGTATCCTGATGTATATTTAACATTTCTTACCAATGGGTGAAAAACACAAGACATTGTGCACTTTTTTGTAATTACAAAAAAGTGCACATTATCGGTGACGAAATTTCATAAAAAAAATGAAAAATATTTTTTAGATTGACAAAGAGAATCATGGAACTCGAACTAACGACCCATAAGTCAGCTCTACGTAAGACGCTATCTGTATCCTTTTATTAGTATTTTTTGTACATAACCATTGAAAATTATAACCAACCCAGTTAATTAATTATAAAAAGTTAGTCCAGCAAAATGTTAAATTCTATTCCACCATATGAACGACGCTGAAGCAAAGTTTAAGTAAATTTAACAGCAATTAGATGTCGGTGGTGTATATTGCCACTTAGGCCACGTTACTGCTGCGACCGGATGATATTGCTAATTGGGTTTTCTAGCAGCCGGAAATCGTATAAACTTTAATACGACACACGTCCTGCTAACCACCAGAATGTTACAGTAATTGTTTGATGGGACTTAGACGGGGCTCGGGACTCGATCTCCTAATGGGCGCAGGAACTATTCCTGTTAATATGTTTGAATCTGGAACGATTCAACGTGATTCTATATTTGAAACTAACTACGTGACTTTAGGCAGCAAGTAGATTGTTAAGAAGTATTCAATTGATTTGTAACTTACTTTAATACTTCGTTTGGCGTTTGCTAGTAACAGTTAATTTACTTGCACGCGCCGAATTAAGAAAAACAAACGCTATCATGTTGCCTCAAGCTAAGCTTAATCGTTTGAAGTAATGAAAACTAAGATGTCTTTAAATCCTTACAGACCGACATATAAGATTAATTTAAAATATATTAAAGTCTAATTAAATATACAAACAAATTTTACTATTGTTTTAAGTAATTATAACAATCTGTAGGGCTCTGCTAAACTATCTATTTTTTTTTAACATATTGAAGAAGTTTTAAACATTATATTCATAGCGCTATTAAAAATATTAAATAATGCAAAAAATATGGCACTATTTTGTAATTAAGTTTCTAATTATTTCCTTTTTACTAGCAGTTTTACATCTATGTTTGAAGACAGTTCTGTTTATAGCTGTATTATGACTATGTTAATTTTTGTCTAAAGTGTTTTACCAGCTAGACGACAGGGTATCCCCGACCTCGGTCAGAATGGACCTGGTCTATTT